TACGTATGTAAATTATGCAACGTTTTGTGGAATGAATTAAAAGAATGATATTTGATGTTTAGTAATCAATGCTTCTGATTATATCATTTAGAAGAAGTCGGATGTCAACGATCTGAATAGTTCAACAACTATGGAACACAGTGAAACAACATTGGGGATCAGTGAGGTTCAGGTTACTGAAAACCACATAAAGATTACGGAAGAAACAGACCAAAACTTGGTAAGTATTTCATACTTCTTAAAAACTGATAGTTCTTTGTTTTTCTTCAGAATATGACCACAAGGACAACGGAAGAAAATAAGCAACACAAGTCACATTGGTACTTGTACGTTGTTATTCCTTTGGTCGCCTCTCTATTTCTTATATGCATTGGTTGTATAATTTGGAGATGGTTACTTAGAAGAAAAAGAAGTAATGAATGATCATTGAAAAAGTGTTATAAATTACTTTGAAAACTGTGAACAAGTTGTCTCAATTGTGCTTTTCCTTAAAATACTTTAGAATTTCATTTGTCTTCTTAATAATTTGGACAGTTATTTCATGATACTTTGTACATGCTTTAGATTGTTTACATGATAGGTGATGTTATTCTTTTTTATAAAATATTAAACACTGTTTTCAGCATTTGCGTTATCGCTTTCATATAGTTCAAGGTGCATAATATCACATGAGTTCTACAAATTTAACTCGTAAGTACGTGGCATTACGCATAAGTGATTTCTTGATCATTGCACTCAACTATGAGTCCGGTGTGAGTGTTCATTTTGATGGAGTGATCTGTCGAAACACTTTATCAATACCTAGATAAACACTTACGTATTTCGTTACTTGATTAATACGTATTAGGTAAATGGTGAGCGACAAACTATGGTTATAGAGGTGTCATGAAGACGGATTATGATTCCTTCCATGATTTTTTTGTTGATATTTGTATAATACGGTCAAGGGATTCTTTCAAAGCTTTCTCTTGAAAATGATGTTAACTGGAAGTTCCTCCTTCATCAGCATCACACAAGAGCCTTACGGTTTGAATGATAGGCCATAGCAACTGATAGACTGACTAGTCTCAATTCAAGCTTAGTCGATGATTTAACGTTATTTTCGCTCTCCTATCACAGTTACTTTATGGACTACACGTTGAATAACTCAGATTTGCTCATACTATGACCTGTGTGTCTACAAAATATTAGGCTGCTTTACGCCATTATTTCATTCAAGCAGAAGCTTATAAGAATATTTAAAGAAAGTAAAATGTTCTGTTCATTATTACTTCCAAATGAATGTCATTAAACTGTTAGATACCTTTATTAACACAATAGGAGAACACATAGAAAAGACGGCCGTTTATTCTTCAGATGAAATGTTCTATTTTCTATAAATGATACTACTTCAACTGACAATCACAAACCTAATTTTGATTGCTTCATTGTATGATGCTGTGGAAAGGCATCATATAACCAGTCACATTCTGTTCACACTGATAAGCAGTAATCAATGACTAACTGAATTGAATGACATCCATCGAAATGTAATATTTGGTTCGGAATTTACTTTCTCTCTCTCACATCTATTCCACTGATCGGTTATTATTTGTTCGTGATAATTCACAATATATTCCATTGTTTAACAAGAACATATTCAATTCTACATGCTGATTGACAATACATTATTACTTAGCCTAAAAAATGATCATTATACAAGCAATCAGTTCATGAATATATATACCTGGTCCCGTCCGTGACAATTTGTACTCTTCATTGATGAATGAATGAAATTGCGAGTAAGAAAATTTATTACCGTTTGAAAAGAAAGAAAACCGATTGGAATATCAATCATGATGTGCCCTAATAGTGAGTAACATTGTGTGTCGCAGTTATTCTCAGAGTTCTAATGAAAAGCAGTGATCAAAACAGTGCGGATGCATAACCGAACGCCTTCAGCTAGGTGAGTCCATTGAAACGAATGTCGTCGGCATACAATCAGATACTACTTAACCGGATGTTAGTAATTAGATGAGAAAATTAAAAATTTCCATCTTTAAATATTCAGTAATTATTAAGTGGATTAAATAGGAATAATATGCATTTGTAAAATCTCAGCGAATGAATTTGTAGTAAATACAACGTTTCCCCTGGCAATCTGATCCAAACTTTTTCAAGGAATTATAATCAAACATCAAAATTATCGAATACAAATAGGTAGTATATGGTTCTCCGGGTTCATTATACCCTGAATAGGTCATCCAATCCACGTTAACAATAAGTCCAAACTCGGTATGTGTAAGAGATAAGCGATGTGAAATGATGAGTGTTCATATAACATAATTGTATAGAAAAAACGTAAGTGGTGAGAGGAGAAAATTACATTCACACTAGATAATGGGACTTATCAGTGATTTTATAAGGAAACCATACAATTTGTAATATATGTGATATGGATCATATCTGTCACAGTATGTATAACATGAAGATAAATAAACAAAATAAAAATAAGAGTGAGATTTGAAGAGGGTAATTTTGAAACTGTACGTATGTGTCATATTTTAATGTTCCAATGAATTCTTTAACAAATTCCGATAATTATAGAAGGGGTTTTGTGGAGATTTAGTATTTATCATTGTTGAAAGCGTGAGTCAATTGAAGCTAGGTTGCTCAACTTCGTGGATCAGTTGAAGTTAGACATTAACACCGTTGGATGCCAGCTCAGTGGTCTATCGGTTAAGGGCTTCGGCTCCAGACTGGTAGGTTCTGGGTTCGAATCTCGCTCGCGAGAGCAGGTTCGTGGATGCGCACTGCTGAGGAGTCCCATAATAGGACGAAACGGCCGTCCAGTGTTTCCGGGTTTTCCATGGTGGTCTAGCTTCAATTGACTCACGCTTTCAACAATGATAAAATTCCGATAAGACAACAGATTAGAATCATTGAGTGTAAATTGTTGTCATTTTTAGGTAAAACGAATTAGATAAAAAACATTAAGGAGTTCAGGTTATTACTTATTAATGATTAGCTGCCATGGCACTGCTAATTGTATTCCATCTCTCCTAATAATATTGTTTGGATTAGCTCAAATGTATAGAGCTTCAGCTGTTTGTCTTTCTTTGTAAGAATTGAAATCTTTTTGAAGGATTTTTGTGTGAACAAAATCAATTGTATGACCCGATTCTATCGAATGCAATGCTATCGCTGATTTGTTTTCCAGTTTCCTTATATCATCTGAGGATTTAGGAATGTGTTTCAAGCATTGTTTGTGTTCCTTCACTCTCACATCCAGTTGTCTTGATGTTTCACCTATATACGTTGCATTACAGTCACTACATTTGATTTCATAGATACAATTTTCATGTTCTTCTTTATGAATTGGTTCTTTAATTCTTACTAATTTTGATCTTAGAGTATTGTTTGTTCGCAAAAATACTCTTATATTTTGATTATTTAAGATTCTTCTAATATCTTCTGAAACACCTTTCCGATATGGGATCACCACTGTGTTAACCCATTCCTTTTTCTGTAATCTTTTTGTATTAACAATGTCGTCTTTTCTTTCATTCTTAATTATTCTTTTAATTAAATCTTTTGAATAATTGTTCATCATTAGGCTAGATGTAATTAAATTTATTTCCCTTTTCATATCGTTTGGTTCACTGACAAGTTTTTGAGCTCATGTAATCATATTTTTGACTACTGTCACTTTGGTCGAGTGTGGATGTGCCGATTTAAAATCTAGAAATTTTCCTGAATTTGTCGGCTTTCGGAATATACTAATTTTTAAGCCATCATAATCTTTCCTTTCAACTAAACAGTCTACGAAAGGTAATTTGTTTTCAGGAGATTCCAACTGTTTGGTGAACTTGATTTTTTCATCAAAGTTGTTGACAAGTTAAAACAGTTCATCCAAATGGTCCCGTTTTATAATGACAAAGGTGTCATCTACATATCTTAACCATACTTTTGGTGCCTGAGAACATATTGAGATGATTAGCTGACAACTGATGATTACACACATATGAATCCCAGAATTTCTCTACTGGTGACAAATGTTTTTTCGGTGAAGTTATTGATTCTTAAGAAGATAATGATTTTTGTACCTCGAACATTTTGTTACGATGTTGGTTTTTGTGAGCCCCCGAATGCCCTGGTACGGTCGAGAGTGGAGAGAGTCTGCTCTTCCTCTCCAAATCCTCTTACATGGCCACGCGTACATAGCCTCTGTCAGAGAACTCCCACTCACTGCCTCTCGCCACTGAGGTTCTGTTAACGAAATTGAGAGAACGAAAAGCGAATCTCCGACAGGAGCTTTAACCGGGTTGGTGGACATGGAAGTTCCACCTACGGGAGTCGGAAAACCCTGATTTCAAACCGATGGTGCACATAGACTGGCTTCAGTATCCTGAGGGAACAAATGATATATGAACCAGTTGTTGGTCACCAACTACCATGGGACTGCATCTCCTCTCGATGTTCCACTGCCTTGTGGATCAGACCTTTAGGTCTAAGGCTGCGAGTGTGGGCCCCTAATAAGACCACATGCTTTGGATTGGGCACATTGGCAGCATCACATCCCTCACATAAATCAGATAAGATTTGTGCGGCGCATATGTATCTGGCACTTCTTTGTACCAATATTTATGTGTTTAAACAAATAATAATAATCGTTTTTGTGACTAATAGCAACTATGTCTAATACATCGAAATTTCAGTATTGGTTTGTGACGATTATTATGTTTGTAATTAAGACCATGAACTGATTGATGTTAGATTCCGCTCGCGGGATCGTAGATACGCAGTGCTGAAGAGTCTCAAATTAGAACGAGACGGCGGTTCAGTGCTTCCAAGTTTTTAATTGTGTTTTAATATAGGTCGGTTCACGATCTCAATCAAAATTCGAATTTGTTCCGAAACTTCATATGTCAGCCAGTTGTTTGTCAAAACGTTGAATCCTCTCATCATATTTAATTTTTTTTGTCAATCTCTTGTAACTAATCCTGTTAACAACGTTGTTTATGAATTTTATTTTTGATTTCAGCAAAGATGTAGGACAGCAACTGGGTCAACATCTATGTAAACTTGATCCATTTCAATTTCAAAGAATGAACATGATTTATAAACGAGTATGTCTGTCAATTGATACTATAAAGTTGATTCATTGATTGGTCAACACATGCAGTTTTATAAATGTCATTTTCTTAACCTCATAGTTATTTCAAAGTATTACCATATTGACATTACTATGGAGGCTTCTTCGACACTACGGCGTGCCTGAGAAGATAGTCAATATCATACGGAACTCCTATGATGGATTAAACTGTCAAATCGTCCATGGAGGACAACTTACCGACTCAGTCGAGGTAAAGACGGGTGTTAGGTAAGGTTGCTTAATCTCACCCTTTTTCTTTCTTCTGGTTATCGACTGGATTATAAAAACGTCAACATCTGGAGGAGAGCACGGGATACAGTGAACAGGCAGATGCAGCTGGACGATCTAGACTTCGCAGATGATCTGGCTCTTCTATCACAAACGCAACAACAAATGCAGGAGAAAACGACCAGTGTAGCAGCAGCCTCAGCAGCAGTAGGTCTCAATATAAACAAAGGGAAAAGCAAGACTCTCCGATACAATACAACATGCACCAATTAAATTACACTTGACGGAGAAGCTTTGGAGGATGTGGAAACCTTTGCATATCTGGGCAGCATCATTGATGAACATGGTGGATCTGATGCAGATGTGAGGGCGAGGATCGGCAAAGCAAGAGCAGCATATTTACAACTGAAAAACATCTGAAACTCAAAACAATTGTCTAACAACACCAAAATCAGAATTTTCAAAACAAATGTCATGACGGTTCTACTGTATAGGGCGGAAACTTGGGGAACTACGAAGGTCATCATCCAGAAGATACAGGTGTTTACTAATAGTTGTCTACGCAAGATACTTTGGATCCGTTGATCAGACACTATCAGCAGCATTCCACTGTGGGAGACAACAAACCAGATTCCAGTGGGTACACTTTGAGGAAATCACCCAATTGCCTCACGAGACAAGCCCTCACATTGAATCCTGACGGCCAAAGGAGAAGAGGAAGATCAAAGGACACATTACGCCGAGAAATAGAGACAGACATGAGAAAAATGAATAGAATTAGAAAAGAAGATTCAGGACAGAGTGTGTTGAAGAATGCTGGTCGGCGGCCTATGCTCCATCGGGAGTAACAGGTGTAAGTAACTAAGTAAGTATGACCATCTTGCGAGAACGATCCTTTATCTTTGAATCTTTTCTGATTTATTGATTTTTTTTCGTTTATTTGTTTCTTCCTACCATATATCATTTCAAAGAAACCCGTTAGACAATTTGGTGAAGTTCTTGAAAGTAGGACGTCTAGTCAACTCCATAATATTTTAGTAGCAATGTGTAAGTACTATCAATCTGGTATAATTTTTTTTATCGGGTAAATATAAGAGTTTTTATTGAATGGATCTCATTTTCAGCGTATATATCATTTACCTCATTTTGAATGCTTAAGAAAATACCTCCTGAATAACTACAGCATAATCCATGAATATTCACCTCATCCAAATAAGTTGTTAATAGGTATATGTAAACATGTTTAACAGTTATACTATATAGTGATATATATGTATAACTCCACGTGGAGTTCCTCTGGAGCTACTGCTAGTTCCAGATAAAAGAAAAGGGTTTGGTATAGGGTTAGCGACCCCATCCCATAGAAAACTAACTCTCTAAGAAAACACAGTAACCCGAAAAATATGTATCTACTGTTATAAAAATCACGTAAGAATTAATCAAAATACATAAACTATGGATTCGCTGATGAGATTTTCGATGAAAATAAAAACACAATGGTGGAGAAGCTTTGTAGCTAAGGTGGATGATTTTGATGATAGCTCATGACCAAACCATCCAGCTCAGTGAACAAAGCTCTATTAAAAAAAAACAATGTTTTTTTGGTAAGTTTCTGTTATTATGTAAATGATCCAGTACAATAAAAGCTCTATTTCATTAGTCGGTTATCTACAACGTAGGACCAGGCTCATTTATGCATCGGTCCAAGTTGCCATACCCCGTTGGCTAAACAAGATCAACACCGAATTCATAGAAGTAGTTAATTTAGTGGTGGTAAAATATAAAATATAGGTTGTAAATAAGGATATATTACAGGAAGAAAGGCAGATATGAAGCAATTTTAATCTCAAGGTTTAAGGGAAGATAAAGAGTGTATACACATACGCCATTTTGGTTGATTCTGAGCCATATCACCTAGAGTCTCCAACCATTGGTTAAGATAGCCACGATAGTCAGGTACTAATCAACCACCACTTCCTATTTTTGATCAGGTGAGGGATATGCTTCTTGACGTGTCTTGTATAGTGTCGACATGAAATACATAGTTTACTTGGCATAAATAAAACACGAAAATTACCTGATTTTTATTCATCTACTTAAAATCATGGTAAACAATTTTGTGGTTGAAAATAAACCTTAATATTTAAAGCAACATCTAAGAAATCTTCGTTTTCATAAGCTTGTCTCAGCCGTCTGAGGCGATTGCTATCCGGATCTAAAAGCTAGAGCTTTAAATCCCAAAAAAATATGCCCAGCCACTCCTTTTACACTGGCCAACTTCAGGGTCAACTTGTTAATAATATGGTGACGTAATTTGATTAATGTTTAATTATTTTATCTACACATCTTACTATTGTCATTACCATTATTATCACACTTGCTAACCTTTCTAGAGAAATTTATTCAGCATCCATCCTCATCTACTATATCTGACCTAATTCATATTATTCTATATATTACGTAATTTCTGATTTGTAATCCCATTTTTCTATCTCTCACCCCCATGTCAACTATATATATTCTGATCATTTATCTCACAATTTCATTTCACTTATAAACTGATCCAAGTTAACACTTTATATATTAGTCATTCCAACATTAATGATTTGAGTCAATTGAGGCTAGACCACCATCGAAAACCTGGAAGCACTGGACGGCCGTTTCGTCCTATTATGGGACTCCTCAGCAGTGCGCATCCACGAACCCGCTCTCGCGAGATTCGAACCGTTGGATGCCAGCTCAGTGGTCTATCGGTTAAGGGCTCCGGCTCGAGACTGGTAGGTCCTGGGTTCGAATCTCGCGAGAGCGGGTTCGTGGATGCGCACTGCTGAGGAGTCTCATAATAGGACGAAACTGCCGTCCAGTGCTTCCAGGTTTTCGATGGTGGTCTAGCCTCAATTGACTCATGATCTTAACTATAAAATTACTAAATCTCCACAAAAACCCCCCTTGTGATTAATGATTTGATTATATTTTATATTCAGATAGGGGCTTTGTGGAGATTTCAGTATTTTCATAGTTCAAAGCATGAGTCAATTGAAGGTAGACCATCATGGAAAACCTGGAAGCACTAAGTGGCCATTTCGTTCTATCGTAGGACTCCTCAGCAGTGTGCATCCACGACCTCGCCTCGCGAGATTCGAACCCAGGACCTAACAGTGTAGCGCTAGCGCTTAACTTCTAGTACCACTGAGCCGGCATCCGATGGTGTTTGTGTCTAACTTCAACCAATCCACGAAGTTGAGCAACCGTTCATCAATTGTCTTCAGTGCGTTCCTATCTCACAACAGATGTGGTTTGAAATCCACTGGTCACTGCTTCTCAATCCTTGGTGGTCTAGCTTCAATTGAATCATGCTTTCAACTATGAAAATACTGAAATCTCCACAAAACCCCTTCTGAACTTTTATTTCAAACAGGATGATTGATCTAGTAACACACTTATCAAATTATACTCATCGTTGGCTTGACGTTTTATTGAGCTCCGTTGTGTAGTTCAGCACAACTTCTATCTATGTATATTGAATTTCAGATAATTACTCCATTAACAAACTAATGTACTTTGCTACGTTCATTCATGATGAGCTTCATAAAGAACTTATTGATGTTCTGGATGTTCAACGTTTTCTACTTTTCCGTTCTGAAGTAAGTTCATACAGATTACTTATAACATTATCAATGTTAACATTTATTCAATTTATTTGGACGGAAGTATAAAGGTGAGAGATCTTGATAATTTGTATCTATATAGATTCACATGTCTTTCAAACCATGTGAATCATATAGTAAACACATTTTTCTGGGGTTGACGAATAATCATTTGTGCTGTAATAAATTCGACATTCTAGAAGGTAGAGAAAGAGAGGAATACCTAGTGATCGGATTCAGTTATTGAACTTTGGATCAGTGTTTTCGTGGTTTATACTATTCCAGGTCGTGTACAAAACATGTCGAAAGTTTTTTATCTTGGTGTAATGATTCCCCATTATCTCTCTTGGTCTTCTAATGTTTTACTGCTATAGATGAAAGTTTTCCGTGTGACTTACTACATAAATGAACTACATGGTTTTGGCATTAAAGAATATTCAATTTTACGATTTGTAAATTTTCGTATACTATTTATTATTCATTATTGTTCTTCATTATTCTTTCTTTTTGAGAAGAGATATTTATTAATTGCACAGACTGCTGAAAGGAGGTTTCAGGGTGTGTGATAAATCTTTTGAGGTTATTATTATAGTTCTAAATAAATATTTAAAATCATGCAAACTCCTGTCAAGTGTTATGTAATCAGCTACTATTCATCCACATCATTCTTATCTTATATTAGAACCCATGCACTCAAGCAAAGGCATGAAAGCCCCGAAATACCCTGGTACGGCTGAGAGTGTGGAGAGTCTGCTCTCCCTCTTCAAATGCTCTCACATGGCCACGCGTATAAAGCCTCTGTCAGGGAAGTCCTACTCACTGCCTTCTCGTGGCATTACTGTTGTTTGTGAAGTGGAGAGGACGAAAGGCGAATGTTCGGCGCTTTAACCAAGTTGGTGCACACGGAAATTCCACCTTGGAGAGTTGGAAAACTCCGATTCCGAACCAATGGTACACATGGGCTCCACTGTCATAAGTGAATGTTGTAATGATCCTTATTTTCTTCAAAGTTTTTCATTCAATGTCCTACATTTCTTTACTTCTATGGAACGAATAAGCCATCTAACAGATATTCATCAACAATTTCATTGCATTAACAGTTTTCATACAATTTCTATTAGATCATTTTATCTGTGTAAAAATTGAACTAACATTCCATGTTCAGGGTTTATTTTAACCTTGATGGGGTAGATACATCATTATTGGCTTGCAAGCACCGTTTTGTATACTCAAACGTCTGAGCAAATCCTTGTAAATTAAAGGTTGTGCTTAATAAGCCGATCATTAGATTGGATCACGTTTTGTACCTGATATTGATTATTTTAATGATAATTGTTATGAATTACCGTTTATCTACATTTTTGGTTCAGAAAGAGTATTGTGGAGATTTCAGTATTTTCATCATTGAAATCATGAGTCAATTGAAGCTACACCATCATGAAAACCTGAAAGCACTGGAAGGCCATTTCGTCCTATTATGGGACTCATCAGCAGTGCGTTTTGCCTTGTATTTTTGTTTCAACTGCATTTTAATGAAAAGTATAAGTCGTATTTATGATTCTTACTTTATTGTATTTCAGATAGATTTGCATACAATAGATAAGGTGTATAAAGCTAAATATGGAATATATCTGTCGGATGATGTGAAACGAATTTACTATGGTGAATATGCTGATGCTTTGTTAGGACTTCTGAAAAAGAAGAAATCCCAGATATATATCAACATTCAATACCATTATCATTACCTCCATTACTTCACGCGATTGAACATTGAGTGATGTTCATTCTCTTTGATACCTTCGTGGACGTTTTTCAAGTAACTTGTATGTACGGACAAGTTCTTGAAGTTTATGTTGCTTACAAAATGTCAGTAGTAAAGTTATGTAAACGAATAATTCTTTTGAATTTAACGCTTGATTATATAAAAAAATAGATGCCAGTCAGTTTAAACAAATTTGTTTAAACTCTAGGGATAAAAACTCTGCCCTGGATGGTTTGATCGTGGACATTTCATCGTTCTTCTGAATGACATCATCAGTGAAAACTTCAGGTAGAAGTGAAGTGTTCGAATTCCTTCGCATACAGCTCATAGCTTGTCCTGTAGACCTAGGTGTTCATTGGTTTTTGTTGACCATAAACCTATCATTGTTTACTTCTTTATCTTCGTTGTATGTCCCATTGCTTTAGTTTATGGTTCTATGTTTGTTCATAATTTAAAAAACTATTTTTGTTTTATACTAGGAAAGATGATCTGAGGGTGCACTGTCGAGGCAATTATTTCATTACTATAAGATGTATCGTTCAATGTTTATATCGTTCATTACACTATGTTCATTGCACTATGTTGAGATATGATGGTGCTTGGAGGTGGTCAACAGGAAACCCTGGACCCGGGTTTCGTGCTACTTGGCACTCGTCAGCAAGGTGTACCTGTAAACTTGGGGGAACTGATGCTCCCTAATGGATTCGGTCCCGTGTCACTCAGCTTCACAGTCACTCTATCCATATTCATACTCTGTTAGTATGATAGTAAAAATGTTTCAAACTAGTGATTTCATATAAAACTTGGTTGAGAGGCTTTTCTGTGGAGATTTCAAGTAATTTTTATTTATAGCTGAAATCATGAGATAATTGAAGCCAGATCACCGTGGAAATCCTGGAAACACTAGTCGGCCGTTTCATAATACTGTGGGACTCCTCAGAAGTGCGCATCAACGATCCCGCCTCACGAGATTCGAACCGAGGACCTACCAGTCTCGCGCCGGAGTAATTGACTGATAGACCACTGAGCCGACCGGCATCCAACGGTGTTAATGTCTAACTTCAACTAATCCACGAAGTTGAGCAACCATTTCACCAATGTCTTCAGTGAGTTGATATCTCACAACAGAACTAGTTGAACTCCACTGGTCATTGCTTCTCACTAGAACTCCAGGAAATACCTCATGGAGCAGTCACTAATGAGCATATGATCGGTCAAGTGCTTCGGCGCGAGACCAGTATGTCCTGGGTTCGAATCTCGCGAGGCCAGATCGTGGATGCGTACTGCTGAGGAGTCCCACAGTAAGACGAAACGGCTGTCCAGTGTTTTCAGGTTTTCCACGGTGGTCTAGATTCAATTGACTCATGATGTCAACTATATATAAAACTTGATTAAGCCAAAAACAGAAGGATTAAATATCTAAAGCAATTAGTTCAATTGATAAATTTCGATAGTGTATTATCAGAAGACGAAGATTATCAGATATATGTGATGAGATATTAACGTAATACATTTTGGACAATCTGATCACATGCTATCGAGGTTGAATATTGCTAGTTAGAGAATAGTGAATTATCGACGCATAAAATCCGTACAAACAATCTAGAGTCTTTGTCGGTTCTTCTCCCCACCTAACCCTGCCTATTAAGTGCAGAACATCAATCTCAGACTCAACTATATGATACATGTATTTCAAGCTTATTGGGTTTACATACAAACAAAAATGACAACATCGCTCTATAAAATAGAGAATGACATTTGTATAAGATATAGCCAAAAGTGTCTGTGAATGTAAGAGGATGTAATTAATAGACTAGGCATAACTGTAGAACGGTAAAGCGTATAATGATAACACATGGATCAAAATAAAGCTTATAACTAGAGGAACATGAATATCTATCGTTTAGTTGCTTAATCATCATATAATAAAAATATATGTATCATATTGGTCCATAAACTGTTCTCACAAGTTACCATTCATTATTGTCGTCGGGATATAACACATATCTTCACTTAATATTGTTTGTTTGAATCTTTCCATTGATGTGTTAGGACTGCAACTGGTCAGTCTCTAATTGGCATATGTGCATGCTAAATTCACAAGCATGGTAAGCAAAGATGGATAGTGGCTAGTAGTGGAATCCAGGACGAGCGTTTCATCCTATTTGGGACTCATCAGCTGGATTTACCTGCATCTTACAGTTGATGTTAATTCTGGGACTCGAACCCAGTACCCTTCACTTCAACTCTGAGATGCAGTTACATCCAGCTGACGAGCCCCAAACAGGATGAAATGCGCGTCCTGAATTCCACTGCTAGCCACTATCCATCTTTGCTTATAACACATCTCTGTTATAAACTTTTAAGAGGGAATATGAACAACGTTACCTAAACGTGTTTTGGTGATCCACTCCTACCTAATGACAGTTATGTTCAGCTTATAGGTCTACTTCAAGTCGATTCTTTTTTGATGCGTTTGTAGAACAAAACTATGAACGGGTTATACAAATTTTATTAACACGAACAAATGCTCAACGTCAACATATTGTACATCATTACAAAACTTTTGAAATGGGAAGTTTTGGAATAACGACCAACCCTTTATTAATATATTTTGTACTCACACTTCCTTTCTGTGTATGTCATTTATTGTTTATTTATTTAAACACATAGATGTTGGTGCAAAGAGGCACCAGATATATATGCACCACTCAAGTATCATTTGATTTGTGTGAGGGCTGTGATACTACCCGGGTGGCCAAAACCAAGCAGGTGGTTTTCTTCTGGGGTCAAACCCGGAGCCTTTGACCTAAAGGTCTGATCCACAAGGCAGTGCAGCATCTTAAGGAGATGTAGTCCCATGGTAACTGGCGACCAACGATTGATTCAAACGTCATTTGTTCCCTCAAGAAACTGGAGCACATGTACACCATTAGTTTGGAATCGGGGTTTTCCATGTACACCAACCCGTTTAAAGCGCCGGAAATTTGGTTTTTTGTTCTCTGAATTTTGTAAACAACAGTATTACCACGAATAGGCAGTGAGTAGGACTTCCTGGAAGAGGCTATATACGCGTCGCTATGTGAGAGCATTTCGAGATTGAGAGCGGACTCTCCCCACTCTCGACCGTACCAGGGCATTCAGGTGCCACATAAGAAATGTGGTACTGTTCACTCCCACGTTTAATGGACTCATTTTGTGAATAGCATGGTTTTCGAAAGTTTATATTCTCACATTATTCAAGGTTAATATACATCTTTGATGGAATTTATTTTAAACGTAATGGCGATGTTTAAACTTTAATCTTCGTAAACACACTATACCTTCTATTTGTATCATAGAGTTTCATAACAAGAAGTATATCTGATGCATAATAAACACGGATTACAATTTAGGCGAATATTCGTCAAGTTTCGAACGAATTGCTTGACAAAAATTGGCCGCCGAGTATAGGGAAGTCATTATATGTGAAAAAATTATATTTGAAATAGTCTCAGCGATTGAAATTTAAATAATTCCAACGTTTCGTTCAGCTCAGTTGTCTGGAATTCTTCAGGGTAATAATCAAAATCAAAATCATCAAAGAAATATATAGCTGAAAGCATGAGTTAGTTGAAGCTAGACCACCAAAGAAAACACTGGACGGCCGTTTCGTCCTATTGTGTGGCTCCGCAGCAGTGCATGTCCACGACCTCACCTTGCGAGTTCTGAACGCAGGATCTGCCAGTCTCGCGCCAGAGCACTTAACAGATAGTCAATCTTTCTTTATGAGCGTTGAAAACTTTCTGAAGTATTTCGGCCCTTTCGAAATAAATCATGTGTCCCGTTTCTAAAGCATGTAACGCTATCGCAGACTTATTCTTAAGTTTCCTTATTACAACACCGAATATCATTCATTAATAACTTATCTTACATATACATACACATACACAATTCATCCAGTCTCCTTTTATTTCACATCGTTGAACTTTTCACTTGATTCTCATTCAGCTGATTCATATTATCTTTCATAGTTGAAATCATGAGTCAATTGAAGCTAGACCACCACTGAAAACCTGGAAGCACTAGACGGCCGTTTCGTCCTATTATGGGACTCCTCAGAAGTGCGCATCCAGGATACCGCCTTGCGAGCGAAATTTGAACACAGGACCTACCAGTCTTCAGCGCAACAGCACTTGACCGATAGACCACTGAGCCGGCCGGCATCCAACGGTGTTATTGTCTTACTTCAACCAATCCATGAACTCCTTTTTCTTAGGAATAATATATTTGTAAAATCTCAGCGAATGAATTTGAAGTAAATCCAATGTTTCACCTGGCAAGGAATTAATTCCTTGAAAAAGCTTGGACCAGATTGTCAGGCGAAACATTGGATTTACTTCAAATTCATTCGCTGAGATTTTACAGATAAACATTTTTCCTATTTAATGTCTTACATCAACTCGGTGCTTAAATACTGTGAAACTATTCGCTCTAATTTAGACGAAAGTTCTTATACAAACTCCTTTTTTCTGATTTGAAACATTGATTTTCTGACTAAACCATGAATTTTATTGGTTTTAGGAAAGATACTGAACAACAATTGAGTAAACTTTTTTGTAAACTTAATCCATTTCAATTAGAAGCATTAGAAATGATGTATCAACAAGTAAGTATATCAACTGATACTATCGGCTATTTTGATATCAATTTCAGTTTCAGATTAGAAAGGACAGGAGGCTTGATAGCCTGTGTTAGTCCTGGAAGTGATGGTCTCTCAGTTGATCCAACTTTCGTTTGAAAGAGTCGACGAATGGAACCTCAACCATGTGCTGAGGTAATGAATTCCACTCGTTGATGATTCGATGAGAAAGTTGATAGTCAGCTGACAAAAAACCCTTCCTGGGTTTATGAACGTTTTTGGAGTATCCTCGTAAATTTTCTGTTTTGGAACACAAGAAAACTGAGGGCATATCAGTTGCAAATTTATCACTAAGCAATTTGAAAACTGTAGTCAAGTCGCCTCGGATTCTTCGATATGACAGCGGGAATAGGTTTAGCTTG